TCCAGCAAAATAATCCATTTAATTACATATCTATGTTTGTAATGTTTATTTATGCGTTTATTATATTTTCCTATTAGATAGCAAGCCCCGCAAGAATAAGGACTATGTCTCTATTGTTCAGCAGTTATATCTAGCACCTGGGAAATTCCTGGCACAGCAGACATTTACTAAATATCTTCTGGAGTTTGGAAAGAAGGCATGGAGAGAAAAAGATGGGAGGCCTATGGTTAGCTAATATTCTCTCCATTATTTATGTAGCTGTGAGGAGAAAAATCTTTAAAAATGTACATTCTATTTAGTCAGTTTATCTACGCAGCAATTCACTGATCCATCTATCTATCCCAGAAACCACAAATATTTAAAATGGCTTCCAAAAGTACATAGTTGCAAGATAAAATAAAATAAATGGAAATGGTAATTACAGTAGGAAACAAGATATTTATATATGTATACGTGTAAAGACAAATCATAGGAAAGGAAGGGAATATATTTTCTCAATTTCTTCACTTTAAGTTAATCTTATTATAACCACTATTGTAATGCTCTTATTATAAGAAAACACATAGAGAATATTTACTAGTCCCTCATCTGGCCATACACTATAACAACATCTACATAACCAGGTTCTTTATATCATAAGCCATAGTAGAGTCTATTGGAGGAGACAAATATTCAATTAAAATAAGATGTATTAAGTAAGTTATAACAATAAACACATAGACTTTCGTGAGAGAACAAAGCAGGATTCTTCTCTGAACAAGGAAAAATGCTCACATCGTAATTGCATTGCTTTGATGCCACTATGTCCTGTTCCAAGAGACTTTTCTGATACACATAAACACTCCTGTCTCTTGATATACAGGGAACTATATGCTTTCAAATGTTACTAGTACAAATGAGGTCTGAACATGTAAATCACTATTATCATAAGAAAACACATTTGAAAAATGTCCTTTTTCTTATAAGTGAAAGCCTAACTTTGATTCCACTTAGCCTGGTAATATGCTTCTGTCATTCCGTTGGACCAGCCCACACATACTGGGTTCTTGATAGGTCCTGGGCTCGGCCATCTGGCTCTTTATTTACTTAATTCTTTTTTAATACTGACAAGTGTATTAGTAACACTTCCTTGATCACTGGTAAATACAGAGCCACCACAAAACCAAGATTTTCCCTAATTCTGAAAGTCACTAATTAGCTGTGGGTAGAGGTGGGGGAGTATTACAAAGATACGTTGAACAGTACTACAATAAGTAATCTAATTCCCAAGAAGAAAGCATGTTAATCTGTTTCCCACTTCATTAGAGTAATAAAAAACATCTTGTCATCACTAAAGGATACAAAGAGAGACCTGGATATTAGAGGGGATGGTAGATAGGGAGGAAGAATGAAAGCGGCATTTAGGCAGGAAACACAAATCCCTTACATATCTTGGACAATGTTCACAGTTTTTCTTGATATCTTTTGATTGATCTACTTAGCAGTGTGTTTCATGAGTGTAGTTTATTCATTAATAAACACAAGCTTGCAAAGGAAATGAAGGTAAATGAATCCTACTGAGAAACGGATCATTCTACTGGTACTTATACAGTGGGCAACTCCGGAAGCTGCCTTAATCTTTTCAAACCAGTAAGGTCTCAATTACTTGAGCTTGCAGAATAAAACAGTGTGAGCTTAAAGGAGAGAACACAGTTTCCAAAAAGACCAAAAAGTCATTTAGAGAGAAGGTATGGTCAAATTATAAGTACTAAAACCAGAAATTTATGTATTTTAAGTCCATTAGAAAACATACTTATTTTTAGGGTTTTTTTCTTTTCCTGTTGGATGAGAGATAGTCTAACAAGTTTAATTTTCCATAAGGTTTAGATTCTTCAAAGAGCATCTGCTGGTCATTGTGTGTGTTCGCACCAGCATAAAGTTTAAAAAATCAACTCCAACTTCCTGAAACTAAAGACTAACTGTATAAGGTTTGGTCAGTTGTCCTCATTTCTAGGATCAAACAATGTCCCATCAAGCAAAAGTCTTTTAGGATTATTTTGGGTTTCAGTCTACCTCCTTTGTTCATAAACATTTTGGGGCAAATGACATTCTCTTATAGTACTGACCCAAATAACTAGAATCTCAATGAGAAACTTATAAAGCTGTGAATTGTGAGGTAGGTGTTAGTATTTTCTCGACCAAATCCTGTAACTAATGAATAAAAGTTAATTGGTTCATATATGAAAGTAAATTGGTGAAAGGCAGATGAATATAATTAACGAGGGGGGGAAGTACATTGTTTAATATGTAATTGAAGAATTGAGAAGGAAGTGTGGCATGTCTTATTTACCAGTATTTGAAGAAAGAAGAATAGATGCTTTGGTATACAAATAAATGCAGGTATAGAAACATAATAGAAGCTTTGTCCTACAGTGGAACTTCAACTTCTCTGGGCAGTGATCAGCTAAGAAGGAACAGAGACAGTTACAATGCAATGAGTAACGAGCTGACAAATCTATTATTCATGGCAGGTATGTGAGCAGTCAGGGCAGCGATGTCAGTGGCCCCTACTCATCAAGCAGCTTTACCAGTACAGACTAGATGTCTGGAACCAGACAATACACAAAAACAATAAAACCTATAGCCAGCTAAAGGAAGGTTCAGCACAACCCATCTCCAATTTTAAATAGTACCAGAAATCTCCACTGGAGAATGTTTCCCTTGGGATTAACATAATTGTATTTACAAGCAATTGACCAACATTTACCTCTATTTATCTTACTATGTGTAGCAACATGCCTGAAACCCTATCTAGGAATTCCCAGCATATTACCAAAAAAAAAGTGATTTTAACATTAGTTGGCAGAAATTTCTGTTGATAGGTAGGGCCATCATGTCATTACATGAACAGATGGTCCAAGTGTGTCCATTTCACTGACAGTGCATTATGTGGGTCTTTTTATCCCTGAACAACCAAACCAAACAAAAGCAGAACACAGAAGAGACCACTGTGCCTTCCCTCATTTGGTTGGCAGCTTCATCTGTGAAATATGAAAATAAAAAAACCAACACAGACTATAATTCTTGTACAGTACTATTTCTGCATAACATTTAATCAAATAAGTATTCATACCCCAAAGTTATCCTGATGTTTGTGAAGATGGAAAAATACATGAAATCTTTAAAATTTTTTTAACTCCATGATTTTCAGTAAAAAGGGGAAAATAGTCGTATTTCTTGATCTTTAGGGTTCTTTTTTTATCTAACCAACAATTTATAGGAAAAAAACAAGTTACAACTCTTTATTGGTAGTCAGGTCTTTTAATGAAACCTCAGGAAAAAAAAACATTGAAAAAAGGGAAATCCCCATATTAAAATCTATTTCCCTTTGAAATGGAGGTGCTCTCTTTGTATTTAATACTTTTACTGAATAATTTTTAAATACTCCAGGTGAAATATTCATAACAGTCTAACAGATATCCAGTTGCAAACTACTACATTTTATACCATGAGACTTCTTGAAATACACACGCGAACACAAACGCACACGCACATGCGCGCACGTGTCCGCGTTGCTGTTTGGATGCTTAATATGATAGCTTTATCTCTATACCCAACCTAAAATATAGTTTACCTTGATTTTGTGAAATAAAAATAAATAATATTGTCAGGAAAAGGAGAGATTAAAAATTACGAATATATTTCTATCTATAACAGTTACTAGTAAAAACAACAGCTGAGAACTATATTGCTAAAATGCATCTACACATGTGGCAATGGAAACTTCTGTGCAAGAATAACGCTGTTACCCACCCTCAAAAAGAGCTGATGAAGTATGAGGTTTAAGAGTACATCTTTAGTACTTCTGTACCTTAAAATATTGCCGAGTATTATTTTTTCATCAAGTTGTCATTTTCTCTGACATTTGGTTTTATTAATCAAGGCATTTATCATTAATTTGTAGAAAATACTGTAATTAAGCCAAATAAAATAAAATCCTTAAAAGGTTAAAATTAGAAAGCAGGTGAATTAGAACTTTGACATTACCCTGTTGACATACTGGAGCATTTTGAAAGCATGGGAATCAAGTTTTTGCAGTGAGTTTGGTGCCTCAATCTCGGGGCTGGCTGGTTTTTAAAAAATGTTATAAAGATTTGATTTAAAGCTCTCTGACAGTTTTGACATTCAGGTGAAAGTACTGCTGCTGCATTTGGAACAATTTGCATATCCCACTGCTAAACGGAATGTTTGAGGTGTGCACTGGTGTAAAGAAATTAAAAACAAGCTATCACACATGCTTAAGTGTATGTATTCACAAAACTGATGGTTGGATCGCAGCACCCCATCCCCCTCCAATGTAATCTGTGATTTACTCTTCTGTAATAAATTACCCTACCATGTTATTCTCGCTGGAAGACCTAACCATGCATGTAAGAAACAAAGTAATCACAGCCCCCTCTTGTCTCAGAAACCTTCTTCAATCCCTATGAGCTCTTTATACACAATGCAGCAACACAAGTCTATTGTACACTTCTTGCCTGAAATTCTGGACTTCTGACTACAAGTAGCCACTAAATCTCATCCGCACGATTTCCTGCACAGTTTTATTGTCTATAACAAATGCATTTTTATCTAGTATAGTTAGTTGTAAAGCTCTTCCTGAGGAGGAATGGGTGTTAACTTTTTGGTTTTAAGCCAGTATGTCTATTTAAGAAAAGGGCAAGGTATAAAATCAGAAGAGTTCCAAACTGATTTCAAAAACAGAAAAGGGCCATAATACATTCCCATATAGAAGGAAGAAGAGGTATAGCAACACCCAATTAGGCTGAGACATTCTGACATGACACAAGGGTTCTTCTTTTTTGACTTACAATTTCAGATTATTTTTTAGGTAGACATAGAAAAAGATATTTAATGTGTTAAAGGGCAATAAAGATCTGAGGCAGTAAACCAAGGCCTTAAATATTATGAAATTTTTCAGGAAGACAAAACCCATTCAAGAAAATATCACTGGACATTACCTTCAGTCTTCAGAGTCTCAAGGGGCAATCCTTAATACTTTTTGTGTGACTGTAAAAAGAAAATACTTAAAATTAGAAATCTTCTAAGGAAGCAATTTACATTTCCACAGTAAGTCTATAACTAGTCATGAGAAGTAGGTAGCTGAGTTTGTGTGTGCCAACTAATATCTATAGTTTTCAAAAGAAAAAAAAAGGCTAACACATTCATTTCTGTATGTGCAGTACAAGTACAAAGTAAAGTATGGCACAAATACATGATTTAAATCAATGTGTGTACAGGGTTTAGATGCAGACCAGGGTATTTATTACAGTATTATTAGAAGCTTTCTTAATTTACACAATTAAAGTTTTTATATTTATGTTTGTATAATTGAAAAAAGGTAATCCCAAATAGTTTAGCCCATGTATTTGTCTATTCTTTATTATCAGAGATTTTGCAAAGATCTACTGGGTATAATATACTGGTAAGTACTGATGAGTTAGAAAAAATACAAACATAAAACACAGGCCCTATCCTCAAAATAATGAGTGAGGTTAAAGAGATTTGCATAAAGGAAGATAATCCAGAGAATGAAAAGTAAATGGAAGGAAAGAAACAGGGAGCAGAGGGTAACATGTTCGATATAGCTTGAACTGGTATACAGTACCTAATGCACTGACATTAGAACATGGCTTTATGTTTCCTGTCTCAGCAAGCAAGGCTATTATTGTAGGGTCCTACACAGATTTGGAGGGAGGGATGTCAAACAAATGAATGAGTCACTTTTAAATTCTTTTCCATCCACATGTGTTTGATAGTATATACTCAAACCTAGGACTGGGAGTAGTAAAGCAGGCAGGATGTTGAGGTGCCTTTAAAACCAATTTGGTGAGTCTGAATATAAAAAAAAAATTAACTAGAAACAATTCTCCTATTAAAAATTGAATTTGATATTTTATGTCCTTGGAAAGTTATCCCTCTAAATTTGCCATGAAATTTCAATGATGACCTTGATGTCATATCTACTAATAATCTACACAGAGATTCAGCCATTCAAAATCTCAAAAGCAGTTTTACTAATGGAAACGCATACATAAACATAAGCCAATCCTATTAGCCAGTGCATCTACAGTAAAAAAACAAAAAACAAACAAAAAAACACAACAACAAAAACATTAAAATGAAAAAGATCTAAGGATTTTAACTGATTGGATCTTTAATATGCATAAATAATATTTTATGAAGGGAAAACAAAGAATCAAACATTAAACTATACCAGTAAACCAAAACAAACCTGAGTTTAGGCTGTACTGATAAATGGGACTGAGGAAAGGAAGGTGCTAGTCCTGTTATAGTCAGTATACATGAGTAATATCACATTTACTCTGCAACACCAAACTTTAGAAAATTAGAATCTTTTGGGAGGAATGTGATTAGAACCATTAATCATGGATAAACAGAGAATAACTAGAAATAGAAAAAAATGTTCAGATTGTAGGGATGAGGTCGAGAAATTTAATTTGGAGAAAATTAATTTGACCATTACATGATACATTATAAAAGTAATTTTTATCTATTGTCTCCCCCACTAGAATGGAAGTGCCATATGGACAGACACTGTCTTTTTTCACTGTATTCCCAATTTCATGAAGAGTGTCTGCCATATACTAAGATCAATGAATATTTATTGAGTGAAATAATGAACAGCCTGATCAACCTATAAGACAAGCACTAAGTCTGTGGGCGCCTGGGTGGCTCAGATGGTTAAGCGTCTGCCTTTGGCTCAGGTCATGATCCCAGGGTCCTGGGATCGAGTCCCACATCGGGCTCCCTGCTAGGCGGGGAGCCTGCTTCTCCCTCTGCCTCTCTCTCTCTCTCTCTCTCTCTCTCTCTCTCTCTCTCCCCCTCTCTCTCTCTCTCTGACTCTCATGAATAAATAAATAAAAAAACATTAAAAAAAAAGACAAGCACTAAGTCTGCATCCATTTACAGATAAAGAAATTTAGACTTAAAGAAGTTAAATTTTATATATTAAACTTTTCTCTTTCACAACTGCAAACTTCTACAACCCATTGTTTAGTCTTCCATTCAATATTCATTCTAGCAGTGGAAAACAAACAATAGGCAAGTAAGCTGTTAAAATTATAATGTCATGTAATTAGTACTATGAGTGCAAACAGTAAGGTAACAGCATTGACATGGGCAGATATTTTAAATTGGTTTGGACAAGAAAGCTTCTCAAAGGAGGTGACAATAAGAAAAAGTGTACATGAAGTGAGAGAGAGAGAGCGTCAAAAAAGTATCTAGGGGACTAGATGGGCTATTATAAGAGGTAAACAAGTTAATATATATTACCTTGCTTTGTACAACGCACACAGCAAACAATACTCTCAATATCTATTATTTTATTATATTGCTATTATTTTATAAATAATGAATTTCCCCCACTAAATTATAAATTTGTCAAAGACATACATTTTTCTTTCCCTATGGCTCCTTAAATAGTGCCTAGCAAATATTCAATAAAAATTTACAGAACTGAAAATAGGAAGACACAATTATCAGTTCATTAATTAGAAAAAGTAAACAGACTATACGAATATGAAAAATGTCATCATATTTCATATGCCTGAGTCAATCTAACTCCTTTAAATCAATGTCACTTAATTTTTTCTGGGTTTTAAGGAAGATAAAAAAGAAAAGCATATAAAATGCCTAGAGTCAAAAAGTCATAGATTAAAAAAAGTAAAAAAGAATCAGAAAAAAATAGTTATCAATATTAGGCCACTATCTTGACCATTTACATACACTGTCTGCCTCCATCAGATTAATACATTTTTCTAGCACAAGGATTCTACCACACAGGTTTCCAATTCATTTATGTATTCCTAATACATGCACAGGAACTGGTATATAGCAAACATTCAGTAAGTCTTTGTTGAACTAAATTGAACTAAAATTATCTTTAGTAGTTCTGATGTTTTAAGTTAGTTCAAATTTTTTAAAAATACATAAAACCAAAAAGGAGGTTATAACAAAAAAAATATCAAGTGTTGGTTTTTGACCCCGCAGCAAAGGAGTAGAGAACAAGGTTAGTTTTCACCAAAGATTGAAATATAGATGACAGTGTGATATTGGCAGTGGAAGAGACAGATCAGTAGAATAGACCACAGGGAAGCATTACAGGTAGCATTTTCACAGCATTGAGACTAATTACATAGGAAAAGAATTTTTTTTGTTCCCTACCTCTTACCAGGCACCAAAATATAAAGCAGATTGATACATCTGAATGTAATAAGTAATCAAAGAGCTGTAAGAAAACCTATGTATATAATTTTCTGAATTCCAAGGTGAGAATGCCACATAGACAGTAGAATATAACATAAGCATAAAGATTTATCAATTTCACTACTTAAAATTAAAAATTTTTCAAAGTCAAAAAATATCTTGAATAAATATGAGGCCAACAATAAAACAAATAAATATTTTTAAAGTATATGACATCGTAGAGTTAATAATCTATAAATAAATAAATAAAACAAAGATCTCATTTTTTTCACATGAAAAGGGAATTCACAATAGAAGAAACACAAGCTAAGATATATATATAAAATAATATTAATCTGTAATAGTTATCTGTAATGAATATTCTATAGAATTAATCTATACTGAAAGGAATGCAAATTAAAGTAGCCTAAATATTCCAAACAGTGAACTAGTTAAATAAATGATATGTAACATAATGTTAAGCTTTCATTAAATATGGCAAGTGAAAATTTACAAAGCATCATTAAGCTTAAAAAGCAGGTTGCAAAATAATAATAATAATTTTTATGATATGATATATACATATATAGACTATGCACAATGGGTTCTGTGAATAAATGTAGATCTGTATGTATGTGTCTATCTATGTATCAGAAAAAAATGTGTATGCATTAGAAAAAGCATGTAAGGACCTACATACTAAATTATTCCTAGCACTAATCTCAGATATTAAGATTATGGCAGATATTTTTCTTCTTGTGATTTCTTTCCAAATTTTCTACAATAAACACAAATTACTTTTTATAAACATTAAAGTCACTAAAACAAGACCTAGTCTATGTTGCAGGAAAAAGATTAGATGACATATTACTAGATTTCCTGAATGTTAAGAAAGCCAGTTGAAAAGGTCTATCTGTCCCTATTTTTGAAGGCCACCTCTATTGAAAAGAATAAATAAAAGAGGAACGAAAGAAAGAAGATGGAGCAAAAAAAGAAAAGAAAGAAAAATAAGATTTGTCAAAAACAGGAACCACCTATAATGGTATCTCTTAGATTCCTAGAAGCCAAATTTTAATCAATCACATCTTTAATTAAGATTTCAAAGAAATGCACAGCCTGGAATGTAGAAAACTTAAGAAGTTTAAAGCTATATTTATATAGTAAGCCTGCTATTTAGTATAAGAGAAAACAAATAGAACATGCATCAGTTTCAGTGATAGGACTATTATTGTTACAATTTCAAATAAATAAAAATTAAAAGCAAGCAAATGATACCTTACAACAAAATAAATAGAAACTGCTAAAGGCTATCCTCTACTGATAATTATAGAAAACAATTCTTCATTAAATAAAAATTTTAAACATGAAGTTTGACTGTATCTCATCAAAATGGCAAATGAAAACCAATTTATAATCCTTAAAGAACATCAGGAAGAACCTACACATACGTGGTCAAGAGGACAAGATGCAGTCCCTCGAAGACTGGAAAAGCCTAATTCAGTTCCAGTCCATAATGGTGCTTCTTAAAATGAAGATATGCATTCGGGGTTTGGATATTACCAGAGTTTTTAAAGCGCTGGAGAATCTGATAAATTCTATGGTAGACTTCTCCAAGAATCCATTAAAGTGACCTGACCAAACCCCATAATGAAGCCATCTAAGATCAAATCAAGTTCCATTGAACCAGGCTCTGGGGCAACAACAAAAGACTATTCACTTGACTCAGTCATACTTGCTGTTAGGTATTTCAGTTTCCCCTCCAAACAGAGGGGAAAAGTTCAGAAAGATTATGTACTAAATACTTCTTTTAATCCCAAAATCCAGTCAATTTCTTTTTTTGTCACTTGTCTCTTTAAAAGATCCCTTTCCTCTATTATATGCAGTTTTACTCTGTTCATTTTTATTTCCCAGTAGCAGAATGCCTTAAATAAATTCTTAAAAAACCAACACACCAACAAATAAATAAATTAAAACTCAATGACTATAAAAAGTACACAGTCTAACCTGTTAATTATTAACAGGCAAACAGAATGCATTTCTCAATTATCTACTTAAACTCCTTCAACTAAAAACTTTAAAGTTTTTGAGCTTGGAATGTGTACGCTTTCTAAGAATCCATAAATCAATTATTTTAAAATATTCTTTTAGGCCATTTTATTTTTTTTCATTTTTTATTGTTATGTTAATCACCATATATTACATCATTAGTTTTTGGTGCAGTGGTCCATGATTCATTGTTTGTTCATAACACCCAGTGCTCCATGCAGAACGTGCCCTCCTCAATACCCATCACCAGGCTAACCCATCCCCCTACCCCCCTCCCCTCTAGAACCCTCAGTTTGTTTTTCAGAGTCCATCATCTCTCATGGTTCGTCTCCCCCTCTGACATACTCCCCTTTTCTTCCTCTCCTGTTATCTTCTTCTTTTTCTTTTTTCTTAAAATATGTTGCGTTATTTGTTTCAGAAGTACAGATCTGTGATTCAACAGTCTTGCACAATTCACAGCGCTCAAAAAACATCAAAGTAAATGTGAATTTGAACACTGGCATAACGCATAAGAAATACAACATACTTTTAAATTTCAGAGATCAGTAAAATTCCCTTCTTTCCAATTGTCCCTTATCCTCTTTGAGATACTTTATTCCACAACACATTTGGACAGAATGAGTAGAAATACTCTCTACTAAAGTATATTAATGAGATGGATATAATAATGGTTTTGGAACATTTATATAATGTTCTTATTCCTAAGCATATCATAAGAAATATACAATTACAAAACTATGGAAAATGTTAATAATCCCAAAAGTAGAATGACAGAAAGAAAAGAATTAACAGTAAATAAAATTCATCATTTTTTCTGGATGAAATACTAGCTCAGCTAATATATTGAATAATGACTGCTGCTTGACACAAGTAAACATCGATTACCTGGAATGCTGGTTAATTAAATTCTGGTTAGCTAAGGGTTCACCAGAGGCAATAAAGTTTTTGCCTTGATTCTTTTAACTAAAAACCTAAGATATACTAGCAGATTTTCCTGCCTTGGTAAATAGGGTTTTATAATTATATCTTCATTAAAGATGAAAAATTTATAACCATAGAGGATGGTTTTTAATCTTTTGGGGGGTCATAAATGACCTTCCTCTAGGAACTCAACTGCCTCGAAGTTGATGCTTTGCTAAGAACAAAAGGCAACCTTAGCTTAACATTATTCTGCCCCCTCCCTGCCCCAGGATCCTGTAAGTCTACTTTAACATACAAAACATAAACAAGTTTCCTTTGGAAATTTCCTTTCTCTCTACCCCACCCCACCCCACTCCAAGATACATGTTGGCAATCTTCCTCCAAGCACATGGCCCACCGATACACATCTGAAGGGTCTCATGACTAAGGTTTTACTAGACAGTAATAAATGACCTTTTCCGAACAAGAGCTAGCCCCCTCAAGGTCCTGGAAACCTTGCTTCCAAAATTCCTTAGAGACTTAGGCCATCCCTAACCCCCTCCCAACCTGGAAGTGTATTAATCACCACTGGTCACAACCCCAGCGCAGCTCCTTCTGTCCCGGGTCCTGTCCCTGTGCTTTAAAAGAAATCACCTTTTTGCACCAAAGATGTCTCAAGAATTCTTTCTTGAAAGTACAACCCGAACCCCAGCATTTTCACACCACAGGGACCAACCACAAGATCCTTTGCCTTCCAATTTTACAAAATTGTAAATGCACAGACATTGAGGATTTTACTGACAACACAGTCATCCCAGGCATAACAAGGATGTTTAAAGTTGCTTTTTGAAGACATCTCTAATAATGAAGTATTTTCTTATGATTTGTTTCCTTTCTTCTAAAAGGGCAGTGTAAAAACAACTATGCTTAATTTAGTCTTGGTTAAAGGTTAAGCATGTTTCCTTTTAGGATAATTGCACTACCAGAGAGAGTTTGAGCTTTAAAACAAAATAGTGCTGTTTTCAAATCATTCCACATTCTAGAAGCCGCAACAATTTTCTTACACTTTTGTAACTCTTAGAGGAGTCAGGGTCAGAGAGAAAGCTCTTCAATGTTCACCTTTACTTCTAAAGATTATCAGATAATCGCAAATATATATATAAAAATTCCCTGTATTCAGGTTTTATTCTAAGTATTCTAAATACTTTTATGTGTATTTGCTCATTTAAACCTCACAAAAACTAGGAGGTGGGTAGCTAGATATCAGATGTCATTATTCTCATCTTATTGATATGTAAACTGAGGCATGGAGAGATGACCATGATTCCCCAAGGATCGCCCCTCTACGGAATGGTAGAACCAGGATTCACACCTAGTCAATCAGGCCAGAGGCTACACTTCTACAAACAATATTACATTTTCAGTTTCCGTCATGAGCTGATAGTTTCTCTTATGTGGTTCCACATGTAACACAAGTCCACCTCTTCACTACTATGCAAGACACATTCATACTGTTTTTCCCAGACATACACATTTGGGGAGTTGTTTGTAAGTTGCTGACAAAACTGGTACCACCTCTGTGTAGCTGGCACTTATATACCATTGTTAATTTCCCAGAATCAAATGCCCAGATGAAAAAATAAGGCACCACTATCTCAGTAAATGCAGAACCCTACAATAAAAGCTGACCCTCCATTTCCTTTTTGGAAATAGTTCTGGTGAGATACAAGATCGAATGATTATATAGTCTATGGGCCAACCAAGACAACAGGATAAATGGCCCATATTGTCACAATAACAGTTCACAAAGGTGAGGGCCCCCAAGTTGCTTCTGTGGCTAAAGCTGCAACAACATGAAAATTTTCTTAGTGTATCCTTCTCACAGAGGGATTGCGTGCTCCCAGAGATAGCAACAAATTTTTATCTCATTTGCTTTCAGTGCATCAACCTTAGTATTTTCAGTGTACCATAATGAGCAAAGGCTGGAAAGAAAGATAGAGAGAGGGATGGAGAGGGAGGGAGGGAAGAAAGAAAAAAAAAAAGGAAAAGGAAAGGAAGGAAGGAAGAAGAAAGAAAGAGCTTTTTTATAGTTTGTACAGAAAAGTTTTCAGTTATAAATTTGTTCCATCTAATTTTTACTGAATTACTTGCTACATATAAATGCAATCAAGCAGATACCAGTAAGATACAAATATAAAAGGGCAAAATAAGGCCGAATGTTCAGAGTCCTGAAAATGGTTAAAGATCAGATAAACAGGAAAGAAAGCTGGGCAAGGGCAAACAGGAATATAGATGCAAAAATGCGTAACAAGAAAGAACCTTGGTAACTGAGGCAGCTTTTCTTCATTAGATCCAGGGACTTTTAATGAAGTAATTGATTCCAATGCAGCCAAGCCAGGCTGGGAATGAAAACCTGGTTAAAATAAAAAAGTATATCTGGAATAAAATACCATCCTCAGCTCCTTTTGTCTCTAATTCATCCTACATACCATAATAAAACAAATATTTGGAAATCATCTAGCTATTACCTTATTCCCTATACTGATTCCCAATCACTTACACTATCAAATCCAATGTGTTTGGTTTACAAAGTCCTCCATAATCTGGTTCCATTGTGTAGCCTCTCTTCCAATTAATGCAGAAATTGTACCCTCCAATCCAATCAGATTAAACCAATATACATTGATTCAGCAAACATTTATTCAGGCCTATAATATGTTAAGGAGCATTCACGTAATTGAAATCTACATGGTCTTGGAGCCAAAGAACCAATGCTAATCTCCAATTTCTCCAAAACTCTATCTCAATGCTTTCTCTTCTCACTCTTCTCCTATTCCTATCCAGATACCTATGCATGCTCTTCCTTTGGATTCAACAAAAATTGATTCAGATATAATCAGTTCAATTGCTCTCATTTTAGCTCAGACACTTACATTTCAGTTTTGAAAATATGATCATTTAGATACCTAAAAATATATACAGAGGGCTAACCTTATGTGCTGTTCCCACTAACCCTCTCACACAAACACAAAACATGGTGGATCTTAAATTAACACAACACACACACACACACACACACACACACACACACACACACACACAGACACACAAACTCTTACTAGGATCCACATTTGTCTTCTTCTATTCCTTTATCAGGCCACACTTGTTGGGGGCTTTCAAACTGGTTCTTCTAAGGCGCTTCTCCCAGATCATTTCATGATGGCTTCCCCTTCTCATCATTTAATCTCAGCTCAAATGGTACCTCATTACTCTTTATCCTGATACCCACACTTTCTGCCCCAAATCACTCTTTATTCTACTACCAGCTTTCTTTTTGTCACAGGATATCACTCTCTGCAATCATTTTTTTTTATTTATTAACTCATTCACTGTCTATCTTCCTACGTTAGGGATCCTATCAGTATAGCTACATATAATTCAGTGCCAAATTGCTTGCCCCTAGGCATTATGCCTGGCATATAGTAAGCACTCAAATATCTGAAAAATAAATACATACAAAAAGTCATTAATATTCAATCCATAAATATTTATCAAGCATTTACAGTGAACAAGATGATTATTTTTAAAGTTAAATCCCAGGCTGAGGAATGTTCTGCCCCTAACATAATTACATTTGGGAGAAAGATCCAAGATAAATTTGGTGACACTTAGAGAGTTCTTTTTTTTTTTTTTTAAGATTTTGAGAGAGAGAGAGCAAGAGAGAGAGAGCACAAATGGGGGGAGGAGCAGAAGGAGAGGGAGAAGCAGACTCCCCATTTAGCATGGAGCCCGATGCAGGGCTAGATCCCAGGACCCTGAGATCATGACCTGAGCTGAAGGCAGATGGCAGACGCTTAACTGACTGAGCCACCCAGGTGTCCCCACTTAGAGAGTTCTAAACAAAATAAATTACCAGAGAATTACACCTAACCTGTCTTGATACTTAGACTAACATCATTGTTTTTCTCAACCACAGTTCCCTTCATATTCCCCCATTAAACCTATTGATACATCATCATCAACTTTTATGTCAAGAATGGTTGAATGAAACTGAATGAAGGAGTGACAGTGTCACATATCTCATTTTGGATATTTATTGCTGAAATGGATGAGTCAGTATCCATGAAACACGGAAGAGTCAGGATACAACTAAGAGTAGTAACGGACAGATTCACTACCTCCTTCATAAAGTGTACAAACATACTCAGATTTGACAATTCTAAATGCTTCTAAAGGTTAAAAAAATCATTCATTTAAACTAGGGATCAGAAAACTTTCTGTAAAAGGTCAAATGAGAAATATTTTAGGCTTTGTAGGTCATACAGTTTCTGTCTCAATTTCTCAACTGTGCTATCATCTCATGAAAGCAGCCATAGGCAATAAACACACAAATCAGCATGCCTATATTTCAATATAACTTTACTTACAAAAACTGTAGGATCATCAGGGAAATGCAAAGCAAAACCAAATCACCTCACACCTGTTAGAATGGCTATTTTCAAAAAGACAAGAAATAAGAAGGGTTGGTGAGGATGTGGAGAAAAAGAAACCTTTGTTCGCTGTTGGTGGGAATGTAAATTGGTGCAGCCACTATAGAAAACAATATAGAGGTTCCTCAAAAAATTAAAAATAGAATTACCATATGATCCAGCATTTCCACTTCTGAGTATACACCAAAGGAAATGAAATCCCTATCTCAATAAGATCTTTGCACCCCCCCAATGTTTACTGTAGCATTATTTACAATAGCTAAGACATGGAAATAATGTAACTGTTGATAGATGGATGAATGCATTAAAAAAAAGTGACATGTATATACAATGGACTATTATTCAGCCATCAAAAAGAAGGAAATCCTGCTCTTTGCAACAACATGGATAGATCTTGAGGACATTATAAGGTAAGTGAAATGAGTCAGACAGAGAAAGACAAATACTGTCTGAGCTTACATCTAATGGAATCTACAGAATCTTAACAAATAAGCAAACAAACAAAAAAACTGAACCCATAGATACAAAGAACAGATTAGTAGTTGCCAGGGTGCAAGGGAGGGGTGGAGAAGGGGGTTGGGTTGTATGTGAAATGGGTGAAGGTGGTCTAAAGGTACTAACTTCTAGTCATAAAATAAATAAGCCCTAGGGATGTAATGTACATCATGGTGACTATATTTAAAAATCTTATACTGTATATTTGAAAGTGGCCAAGAGAGTAGATCTTAAAAGTTCTTACCACACACACAATATTGTAACTATGTGTGGTGATGGATGTTAACTAGATTTACTGGTGGTGATCAAATCATGTTGTATACCTGAAACTAACATATTGTTATATATTAATTATATCTCAATTAAAAAAAACAGTAGGACAGATTTGTTGACTTCTGGTCTAAACTCATCAGTAAAGCCTAAAGAATGGAGAGATTTAGCAACAAAATTTAATTATAAGGGGTATTATGAGGACTTGTATTAGAAGCTCTTTTTGTGAGATATACAAGTTGCTTTTACATGAATTATAATACTTTTTGGGGGGACTGATGGGAATTACAGGGGACCCAAGCCCCTCCGGTCACCCTTGTCACTGCCACCTATTCCCACAATGAATTTAGGCATTTTCTTGGCATGACATTTTGGCCTTATGTAGAATCATCATCTTTCCATAAATATCCAATCCATCATATTATTTGTATCCTAACATTAAAATTATTTTTGAAAAGCCACAATAAATACTTGGTTGAAGTTTAAAAAATACATTCCCTTTATCCATGCTAATTTTGCAATTCTATTTTAAACAACTATTAATTTTGTCAGGCATGATTTGTTTGTAATAAACTCATTTTGTTCGTTGCTCATGATTCCTTTGTCTTCAAGATGTTTACTGATTCCTCTTCCAGTGTTTTATTGAAAATGTTGTCAGGCCATTTCAAGTTAGATTTTCATTACATCTATTATAAGAATTGTTTCTTCCTCAAGTTTTTTTAGGTCTTCTAAATTTCTCAAGTAAAACACACCTTCATATATCCAAAGTACTAAATACCCTTTTACTTGATGATGATTGATAACTATTTTCAAAAGGCATTCTAAAACTCATTTTATGCTTCTCAAAATTATATTCCAACACCAAAATAGCTACACAATTAAACTAAAATTTGGTGTGTAAAGATTCTAAATGATAGTATGTTGATCCACATTGTCATGAGATAACATTTATTAATCAGTAGCACTATCATTTTCTATTTTCTACTTTACAGTTGTTATAATAAATTCTACTGCCAATCAGCTTTCATTAAGTTATCAGCCCTTCTATTTGTGATAACCAATACTCTACCTTTCTGCCATCCATTTCCACTTTATCTTTTCTGGCTACATAAATCTCTAGAGCCTATGGTGTCAAAATATTTTTTTAGTTTCAACCAGACATCTGTAAAAATGTGAAAGCTATAACATTTAAATGTAAAGTTTGCTCTTAAGTTACATCACATGTCACACAACCACAAATTTTCAAATAAAATGAGAAAATATTAAGATTTTAGATAATATTATAAAAACTGCTTCAGTTGGATTCACTATTCAATAAATGAAAACACTTGAGAATTCTAGTAAAAGTAAACCTTGAGATAGTTGAAATATCCATTCTAAATAATGGGAACATTTAGGTAATTGTCTGTACAAAACAAGGATCAGACTTTTTGAGGTCATAAAAAGCTTGATCTTCCCAGGTAAGATAAATGCAGAAAGCTTACCACTAAATTACACAATAGGGATAAGATTGTTGAATCTATCTGCAAAATAACATTTTCAAAAGCTTCATAAAGTAACTGATTCATTAAAGATATAACTGAAGATTCTTTCTCTTTTCTGATATGAAAGATCACAAAACATTGCAATATTTGCAAAAGAGGATAAAGTGCTCATGTCTCACTTGTGAGACATGAATACCTCCTTTATTACCTATGTTCTTGCTATATATTGAGAATGTTGAAGAAAAGCAGTTCCAAAAGAACGCAGGTTTGCTGATCCTGGGTTCCTGTTAATATTACATGATAGAACAGAAGCTTTCACATACAATCAGGATGATAGCTACTTGCTCTGTACTCAGAGGGACCAATTCTCCCCTACTGACATGAACACAGCACAAATCACAAAGTACCAAAATTGAGTCTAAGTGCAAACCTCTCAACTTCACTCATGTATCAGCAAAAAGAACCAGTTTAGCTACATAGGAAAAGATGTCAGGTCCAAGGAGTTGAAAGGGAGGGCAGACTGGCATTGGGATAATTTATCTGCCTCTACTACAGTTCATCTGCCTCAGTGAAAAGAATTAATCCAAACTTGCCAAAGATTTGTCTTGTTTAACTACAAGCTATCTTACTGTATTCTAACCCACTTCCCATCTCCTCCCTAGCTCTCCTCTTCT